AAAAAAGGAGGAATAGAGAAGACAATGCTATGGTTAAGCAAAAGATAATAAGGATCAGCAGAAGGCATTTGAAAAGTTCAAAGGATATGTTAAGTGGGAGGACTGAGCAGATTAGAAGAGCAGATAAAGCAAGCAAGAAATAATTGCAGTGAAGACGCATGTTGAACTTGAAATAGGCCAAGATATTTCATACCCGGAGGGTATTCATATATTTACATAATAGACTTCTGGAAAGAAGTACAACCGCTGTAAGACCATGTCAAATATTCTCTAGTTTCGATTTCCAAATCGAAAATACCGATTTCAGTGAGGTAGAAATTCCCCCAGAAAGAAACCCTTAATTGTGCAAATATTCATTTTCTCCCCTATCTTTTTTTGGTTGCTATTATTGCCCCTAGCTTCTGCTTCCGGGTCAATTGTTACCTAGCTGAGGTTGCCTACTCATCCTAAATGAGTCCTAGACAATCAGGGAACACACAGGATGATACGAAGCAACTGCGGGTTGATCAAATGTTGTGCAGAGGAGGGCAACTAAGATGATCAAGAGTCTTGAAACCAAGCCTTGTGATGAACAGTTGAGGGAGTTGGGCATGTTTAGCCTGGGAAAGAGGATACTGAAAAGAGGTTGTCACATGGAAGATGGCAGAAGTTTGTTTCCTCCTGAAGGATAGAACCCAAACCCCAGGATTCAAGCTACAAGAAATGCGATTCTCACTAAACATCAGGAAGAACGATTTGATGGTGAGAGGTGTTTGACAGTGGAAAAGACTCCTTTGGAAGTTAGTGTACTTTCCTTCCTTGGAGGTTTTTAAGCAGATGTTGGATGTCTATCTGTCATGGATGCTTTAGTTGGGATTCCTGCATTTCTGGGCTTTGGGTTTGATGGCCCTTCTATGTTTCTGTTCTATGATTATGTCATTGACAGTGGGTGAGAGCAGGGGCTGTCTGGATTAATCACACAGGTGATTTAACCCACTGAGTTATCAGAGGAGTTGGACTGATTTCACAATGCTATGTAGCCGATCAGAACTGGCCACATGATAATGTTATTGAAAGTAAGTGAAGACAATTGGATGTAGACACTAATGAACAATCATTCCTGCTAGGAGAATCAAAGCACAGTGAATGAAGGGGAGGCATTTTAATATTTGCAAAAAAAATTGAGAATCATCTTGTCTCAACTCTACTCATGGGTAAATATGAGGCTAATAAGCATTCTCATTACACAACCTGATATAAATTCTCATAGTCAGTTTGCTGTTGTCTTCAATATTGACCCAGATATTCATTCTCTGATAGTTTCTGATTGAGGAGATACTAGGTTCTCTTGGGAGAGGGAAGTATGGAGGAATAGGAGTGAATTTGAAAGAGCAATTATGTATGCTGTCAAATCATTCCTCAGAATCACACTGCTCTAATAATTTGAAGAAAAAGAAGTTGATAAACACGGGGGCTGTGAACTGAATTTGGCCTTGGACTACATCCCATTGGCCAGATTGCACCCAGCTACAACGGACCTACCAATTGGGTGTTGTGGCTGACCAATTGTACCCACCCACAACACAGAGTGTTGGTTTCCAGGTCTCACCACAATGTGTGCCCTCTTTAAGGGAGAACCCAATTTATAGCCATCGGACTTGGAAGCCATCTCTGCTTCCTGTGGGGTGCAGATTCCATGGTTTTAACTATGCAGTGTGCCAAGAAGGACTCTATTATATCTGTCCTGAATCTTCCAGCGTTCAGCTTCATTGGATGTCCACGAATTCAAGTGTTATCAGCCAATGGAGCCATTGGTAGACATGACTGACCAACTTCTCCACTCTGCCCAATAGAATTCTCTAGGGTGACTTTTACAAATGATGGCAAGAACAATCAAACATTCGGAAATATGGTTGATGTAGCATGTAACAAGAAAAACAGCCATTTAAAATTCAAATTAATTGCCCCAGTAAATGCAGCTTTTTAACTGAAATGGTCTAGTGAATGCACATTACTTTATATTTATGTGTGCGGATAACTTTTCATTTCCCCCCCTTTTGGGATGCACATTCTTAGGGATTCCCCAGACTGGTTTTATTTTTATTTTTTTAAAAAAATTGCAGGTGTGTTCCACATGTCATTGACACAGTAATTGTGTTCTGGCTTAAGGTAAAGGTAAAGAGACCGCTTACCATTAGGTCCAGTCGTGGACAACTCTGGGGTTGTAGCGCTCATCTCGCTTTATTGACTGAGGGAGCCAGAGTACAGCTTCCGGGTCATGTGGCCAGCATGACTAAGCCACTTCTGGAGAAACCAGAGCAGCGCATGGAAACGCTGTTTACCTTCCCGCCGGAGCGGTACCTATTTATCTACTTGGACTTTGTGCATTCAAACTGCTAGGTTGGCAGGAGCAGGGACCGAGCAACGGGAGCTCACCCCATCACGGGGATTTGAACCTCCGACCTTCTGATCGGCAAGCCCTAGGCTCTGTGGTTTAAGCCAAAGCGCCACCCACATCCCATGCGCCACCTGTGTTCTAGCTTAGAAGAGCTAAACAATGAAATTGGACAAATTCATAGATGACAAGTCTACCAATGCTCATTGGTTTTGAAGTCTAACTGGAAACTCCATTTTCAGAGGCAGGATATCCTGACATGCAATTTTGGGTGGAGGGTGGGGACTAGCAAGCCCTGTTGCTTTCATGCCCTGATTGTAGCCATCCCATAGACATCTGGTTGGACTAGATTGAGAATATCCAATGTGCTGTGCTCCACATCAGGCTGGACTACAACTCCCATCATTTCTGACTGTTAGCCATGTTGGTGGCTGCTGTTAGAAGATGTAGTCCAGCAACATTTTGAGGGTAGCTCATTGGTTACATCTGGACTTGACAGTTCCATCAAGGCCTTTCTTATGCCATTGTGGAGATTGGATCACTCAACCATCACAGCTCAATAGAATTTCCAAGCAGAGATGAAATATCCCATTGAATGCCTGTTGTTTGCTCGCTTGTAGACTTAGGAACCCAGAAAGCATTTGATTATACAGATAACTAGGAACACAGGAAGTTGCCTTATTATACTAGTCCATGTAGCTCTATGGGATTCCAGACCAGGTTCTCTAACATCCATACCTGAAGATACCAGGGACTGAACCTGAGGTCCTTTGCATTCAAAGGATGTGCTATCCATAGGTTGGTTGAGCACTGGGGGGGGGGGGACCAGGATGCTATAGTAGATAGGCTTTGATCTCTTCATAGCAAGGTCTTCCTTTTGCAATCAGCTGGCATGGGGACTCTTCACATATGTGCCAAGGGGAGCTGTTGGGGAGCTATTGGAGGTGGGGGCCAATGTGATGGGGAAGGGATATAAACCAGCCTTTGTCTGAACAACCTTCCAGGTGTGGGGGTAGGAAGATGCTCACCTGCTCCACTATGGGAAGGAGTTTCCTGGCTGGGTGTGCTGCTGAGTCCGTCCCCCCCCCCCCGCAACCCGCCTTTGGTACAGCTGCTTGTCTCCTCAGCTAATTCTTTTTAAAAGGCTCCCGTCTCTCTTGTTGCAATCATTTTCTTCATTAGCACTGTGTCCTGACTGAGCAAGTCAGTGAAAACATATATAATCAGTAAATATAGCTTATTAAATGCCCAGGTCAGGCTATCTGCCTGTCAGCAAAAGGCGGAAACATGCTTTTGTTACATACTTGCTGAGTGCGCTTTCTGTCTTATCCCAGTGCGCACCTCAGCTGTACTGAGCATTTAATAAGCTTCGTAGCCGGTGCCCTTTTGGAAATGATTGAATTATGCCTGTTTTTTATGGTTCCATAAAAGGCTTTTTATTAATTTGGGGGATGCTGAAGCGCATCTCCTCCTATCTGGTCAATCCCCACTGAGCAATTAAATTATTCACACTGCTTCCAATTGGCTTTGTTTATTGTGTCCACTTCATGATATTAAAAAAATTAAAAAAATAAAAAATCAGAGGAGAGACTAGAGAGAAAGAGTGAGACTTAAGTTCCCTTGCAGAGGAACCAAATACTACTATGGACCTTGGACAGTCAATTAACCCAGAAGAGCAGAGTAGCTGGATTTGCTGACATGCGATGGGGAGACGATAATGGATATAAGAAAAGTCTGCTGGATCAGGTCAGCGGCCCATCTAGTCCAGCATCTTGTTCTCACAGTGGCTGACCAGATGCCTGTGAGAAACCAGCAAGCAGGATTTGACCACAAGAGCACTTTGCCACCCTGTGGCTTCCAGCAGCTGGTCTTCAGAAACACTTATGCTTCCAACTGTGGTAGCCAGTGATAGCCCTCTCCTCCATGAATTTATCTAATTCTCTTTTAAAGCCATCCAAGTTGGTGACCATCATCGCCTCCTGTCAGAGCGATGTTCTAAATTGCCTGTGTGCAACTTCATGAATTGCAAGAACAACTACTTGAAAGGACTCCCTGAGCTTGTACATGCATTAAGAACATAGCAGGAGCACAGATGAGGCCAACAGTCCATTTGGTCCATCTGGTCCAGCAGCCTGTTCCCACAGTGACCAACTAGGTGCCTTTGGAAAGCCCAGAAGCAGAACTTGAGCACAAGAGCAGTATTCTACCACTCATGATTCCCAACAAATGGAGGCTTACTGCCCTCCAACATTGGAGGTAGAATGTAGCCATTGTGACTACTTATAGCAGGGGTGTCAAACTCAAATTCATCGGGGGCCGCATCAGCAGTTTGGTCACCCTCAAAGGGCCGGTTGTATCTATAGGACTATGTGTCCACTCTTTATTATCATAAATTATTGTCACTGCATTCAATTATTACTGTTTTTTGTAATAATGTAAGTAATAACTAGTTCTGAAAGCAGAAACATAGTCAGAATAATGGCAAGTAGATATTCAAATGTACAATTATTGTACAATTTATTGAAAAATGATTTTTGGTAACAGACAGTAATTTTTTTTTAAACGTACAAATATTGCCAAACACTGTTTATTAGACATATGGCAAACACAAGGCATTAACTTTTTTTTAACTTTTCTGACTAGATGACTGACATCGTTTTCCTGAGGTCAGTCCATTGATGTCTGGCGTTAGGTCTTGTGCTGTAGCAATCCGCAAAACAGCATGGAGGTTATCATCAGTGATGTGTGATCTGAGCTTGGTCTTGTTCAGATTCATGACTGAAAACATCTGTTCACATAGATAGGTGCTCCCAAACATGGACAGAACACGTGCAGCTTGAAGTCGGAGCTGTGGCATCAAAGCAGGGGGGAGGAGATGGTAAAAGTCGTCGACTGTCGCATCCTGGAACTTCGCTTTCAGGCTGCTGTTGCACTGAAGTTCTATTAATTCCATTTGAAGGTGATGTGGTGCACTGTCAACATCGATGTTGAAGGGATTGGCAAAGCTGGTAAAAACAAGTGGAGGTTTCCTGAATGCATGTAAAGTGGAGGTTTCCTGTGTAGAACGGCTGGCGCCGCTAGAGGGCAGACGTTCTCTGGCTTGTAGGCTGCCGTGCATGCGCTGAAGAGGCGGCTTTCTTGTGTCAAAAAAAAAAAGCGAGAATAAAAGGTGAAGGCTGGCAGCCGGCGGCGGCTACACGGGCCACATGATGAGGTCTGGCGGGCCGGATTCGGTCCGCGGGCCTTGTGTTTGACACCCGTGACTTATAGTTTTATCGCCATGAATGTGTCTAATCTTCTTTTAAAGCCATCCAATCTTGCAGGGGTTAAATTCCCATAGTTTGGCCAATGTTGTTCCGTATGAAGAAATACCTCAGTTTGTGTTTCGGAAGGTATTGGGGAAAGTGTGTGTATGTGTTTTTGTGTGTGCGTGAGCACATTCATGTCACCATTCATAAGTTGTTATTAATCTCCTATGTCAAGGACTCCCCATCAAACTTTCCTTAAACTTCAGACTTCCCTCCGGAGTGATCAATAGACTGAACAGCTTCCTGAGATGCTGATGGGCTATGAAAACATTGAGGTTTCTAAATGAGAATGGACATGGCTTCACATCTTGTCCCAGCCATCAGAGTCATAGCAGAAGCCTTACATCTGAAAGCACTTAAGTCAATGTTTCCCCACCATTGGCAGAAGCTCTCTTCACTTAACTGAGGCTTCAATGGGTATTAGATGGGGCCACCAAATGTTCTGATTCAGTGTTGACTGGTGCCCATTGGGACTGGTTGGGCAGAAGGCAGGGAGCCCAGCTATAGGTGGAGCCAGAGCCAATGAAAGGCAAAGAGAACTAGTCTTGTCCCCATCCTGCTCCCTACTGATTTCTACAAGGCTAACATTGAGACAGAGACATCACCTTGCCAACAAAGGTCCGTATAGTTAAAGCCATGGTTTTCCCAGTAGTGATGTATGAAAGTGAGAGCTGGACCATAAAGAAGGCTGATCGCTGAAGAATTGATGCTTTTGAATTCTGGTCTGGAGGAGACTCTTGAGCATCCCATGCACTGCAAGAAGCATCCATCAAACACATCCATTCTTAAGGAAATCAGCCCTGAGTGCTCACTGGAAGGACAGATCCTGAAGCTGAGGCTCCAAGACTTTGGCCACCTCATGAGAAGAGAAGACTCCCTGGAAAAGACCCTGATGTTGGGAAAGATGGAGGGCACAAGGAGAAGGGGGCAACAGAGGACGAGATGGTTGGACAGCTACAAACGTGAGTCTGACCAAACTGCGGGAGGCAGTGGAAGACAGCAGTGCCTGGCGTGCTTTGGTCCATGGGGTCACGAAGAGTTGGACATGACTAAACGACTAAACAACAACAACATTGAGACTAAGAAGGAAGAAGCTGCCTGGCAGTGCCACCCTCTGACTGAAGGCAGACGGTGCTTTATGGAACTGTACCCCCTATATCCTAATGGGCCAACCTACACTCTTACCTTTACGAGATTGCCTTACCCAATAAATACCCACTTGATCACTTCGATTGGCAGAACTGGCATTGTTGCCACATAATGCCCATTTTAGTGTAGCACCACCTACCTCTAGAACTTCCTGCCTATTGTAATCAGGCAGACGCCTTCACAATGCTCTTTTCAGTACCTTTAAAAACAATTTTGTTTGGACATGCCTACTCAGATATGTGGAATGATGTTCTGCGGTTTAGTTATTTTAAATTTTCAACAGTCTTAAATTGTTGTCATTAATTCATCTTATTGCCAACCTAGCGATTCGAAAGCATACCAGTGCGAGTAGATAAATAGGTACCATTGCGGCAGAAAGGTAAACAGTGTTTCCGGGTCCTCTGGCTTCCACCACAGTGTCCTGTTGCACCAGAAGCAGTTTAGTCATGCTGGCCAAATCACCTGGGAAAGCTGCCTGCGGACAAACACTGGCTCCTTTGCCTGAAAGCAGAGAAGAGCACCACACCCCATAGTTGAATTCAAATGCACTTAACCATCCAGGGGTCCTTTACCTTTACCTTTACCTTTACCTTTACCCTTATTGGTTTGTTGTTTTAGCTTTTTGCAAACCACTTTGTGGGTGTTGTTGACGACAATCAAGCAGTGTATAAATTTTGCAAAATAAATTAATAAATTTGCCACATTTTTTATAATTAAAAATTAAGGTTGCATGAAATTCCCTTTTATTACACGTTAGTGGTTTGATTGCACATCAACGTGGTTTAGTTTTTTTAAGATGAGTTGGCAGATTATGCATTTTCTTGTGGAATAAAATAAATTTAAGAAAGTACTTCTGTCCTTCCATACATTCCAAAACTGAGGGCTGGGGCCAAGACAAAAACGCCATGGGGTGCATGGCGATGGTAATGTCTGTCACCTGTCTAATGGCATCTCGTGACCAGGACAAGTGTTCTGTTTTCCCAGAGTAAAAGGTCAGTCCTGCAAACAGCTATTCCTGTTTGATGGAGTGGCCACAATGTTCCGATTAGCATAGCTCTGAAAAACAATGGGGAACTCCAGCATGGTACATTGGTACAGGATGCCAGAGGCACTTTGGAGGACAATAGCCTTGTTTACTAAAACAGACCCAGGTGACATAAGTAAATTAGCCGTGTCCCATGATCCATGCAGGAGAAGTCAACAGCCTCTCAAAGGCACTGGGCAATGTGGCCTGGGGGAACATTCTGACCCACCCCCAAATATGTCAATCCATTGTCCTTGGAATGCACAAGCAACCTCCTTGGCTCTCGGGAACTACAAGACTATTTCCGTTCAGTGGACTGAGATGAGACTGAGAAGAAATGGAAAGAGAGAGTGTGAGAGGGAGGGAGGGAGGGGAAGAAGAAGAAGAAGAAGAAGAAGAAGAAGAAGAAGAAGAAGAAGAAGAAGAAGAAGAAGAAGAAGAAGAAAGAGAGAGAGAGAAGTATTTCTGCTTCATGGGTGAAGGGTTTGGAATGAGTGCACCAATATGCAACATGTTTAAAATCTCCACTGGGCAAATACCAAACCTGTAATTTAAAGTGCAAATTGGAAATCAAAATTCTGAACTCAATTATGGGATTCCTGCCCCCTTTACTGTCAGGTCCCTATCATAGAATTATAGAGTAGGAAGGGTCCCAAAGGGTCATCTAGTTTATCCCCTTACAATGCTCATGGCTATTTAATTTTTTTGCCTGTGGTTCAGGTTGACTGATAGAGTTTCTGTAGAGAAGAAAAGGGTGGGATAGGAAGGGGGGGTGAAGAGGTTTTGGTATGGTGCCTGCCAAATTTGCAAAATGTGCTCTGAATTCTGTAGGCCACAGCTTGTGCAGGACCAAACTCAACACAACGCAGAAGGTCTATGGTTAGAATCTTCTAACGTCTATTGCCTTCATTGAAAAGCAGACACATGGGGACTGGTATTTGGATCAGAGCTGCATTGCTGAAAGTGGGAGATCTGATTCCTTTCCCTCCAGGCTATCTCCCCAATGAGAACTTCCACACTCTCCCCAGAAGCTGTCATTAGCCATGGAAATATACAATCAAGTGGGAGTATTTTATGCAAAATACAAATGAGGGGTGTTCACATGTTGCATTCAAAACGAGTACAATCTGTGTACTTGTGTGAAGCCCCCCACGCCTGTGAAAGTGGTTTATGCGGTGGGGAGGTCAGGATGCAACCCACTGGATGGGTCCTGTTTCCCACTCCTGCAAAGAAGGCAAGTTACACTTTTGGAAAAGCTATTATTTTTCTCAAATCTTTCAAAGAAGGATACACAAAACTCCAATGAGAAAGTTGGCCTCCTCAAAACTCTTTTGACTTCCATTGAAATTCCTCAGATATTTTGCCTGAGGAGAAGCTTCCAAATTCGCTTCAAATCTTGCTTTAGGCAACATCCAGTGATGACCTGGGGATGTGGGAGCTCTCCTCCTCTTGAGAAATGTCACTCGCAGTATTGAAATTCACTTGGCTTTCCTCAAAATTTCATTTGATGTTTTGCCTGAGGAGAAAAGGTACAAATAAGTCTAAGAGGATCCCAGCATCATTGACAAGCAGAGTTGAGGAGGCTGTGAAAGGAATAGAGGCGCCCTTTAAGAAATTGAAATCTTGCTCTCCTGAGAAAACAAGAATAAGGAAAAAAAGATGGTTGAGTAATGGCAAGCAAAAATAAATAATTGTGGAGCATATTGCTAAAGATATTAAAACAAACGTTTGAAATGTATTAAAATCATCATGAAACAAGAAACAAGAAGTCTTAGAGGTGGTGGACCACAAGGCAACAATGATAAGAAGTATAAAGGTGGGAAATTTGAAGAAAAGTTTAGCAACTTAATTGCAGTGGTCTTAGCTTCAAAACAAGTTGCATCTTTCCTTCGTAACAGATCCACATTGCTAGGTCGGCATATCAAGAACTGAGTCGTTAAAACTGGATTCATTATTGAGGAACATAGGAAGATGCTTAATACCAATTCAGACCATTCATTCACCTAGCACTGTCTACACGGCTTGGTTGTGGCTTCCCAAGATTTCAAAAACAGGATTCTTTCCCAGACCTACCTGGCAATGCCAGGAAATGAACCTGGGGCCTTCTGCTGCACCACTGAGCTCTGACCCTTTCTCTTTGTTAAATGAATGAAGATTTCTGGATTCTGGGGTCATGACACCTAGTACAGCAGTTATTTTTCCTTATGGGCTGGGGAGCCCGTGACCCTCCAGATGCTGTCAGATTCCAACTCCTACCAACAATCTGTTTTGAGTAGAGGTTGGGTGGCCATCCGTCATGCATGCTTGAGTTGAGATTCATGCATTGCAAAGGGTTGCAGTAGATGGCTCTCAGGGTCCCTTCCAACTCTACAATTATATGATCCCTGACCACTGGCCAGTCCAACAACATGGGAGGTACACTGGTTTCCTGCCCTGGATCAGACAAATCCCTAGAGGACAGGCCTAACAGTGGCTACTAGACACAATGGTTATGCAGAACCTCCATGTTCAGAGCAGTATAACAGGGGATATCACGAAATACATAAAACGTATACAACTTGTGATTGGGAAAAAATAAATAAATCTCAAAGGATTTGCCAAAAAGAACGAAATCATCAACCACAATTGAATCCTTTC